CTTGTTCTGCCCCGTACCTCCCATTCCTTCAGCAGCCAGTCCCCACTGCCTCCAGGATGGCATCATGTGGGAGCGATGTGAACATCTCTTTGATGTCATAGCTCCTGAGCAGCGCAACAACGCCATCCTTAGTACTGAACTTCTTCTCTGCCAACGCTACCCTGTCCTTCAGGCTAGTTGTAACTCCCAAGTTGAAAAAGTTGAAATGCTTCGGCTCGGGGAGTCTGACAAGTAGCTCATTAAGTGCCCTGGCCATCCGCCTGCTTCCTGTCTTGGTAGGTTCGCTACTTGCATGAGCGATAGGGCGCCACCTCCCTAGATCCTTGTGTTTAGGGAGGACGTACGCTCTTCCGATCTTGCCTTTCCCGTTCCACACTGCGACTTTATCCAGACCAGCGTCCTTGTACTCCCTCCTGGCTTCCTTGGTGACCACCACTTTGTGCTTCGACACTGGGGTGTACACTGCATTGTAGGTGAACATCTTCTTCAGCCCCCAATTGTACGTAGAAGGGCACATGATCGACAACTCACCTTGGTTCCGGTCCACTGGAGCAACTACCAGCTCGTTCAGCTGCCTGCCCAGTCACTACACCTCTTCCTCTTCTGCCGCATCAACGCCTTCTTCCTTCCTCAACTTCAGGCATTCTGACACTTGCAGTGATTGCTGCGTCATCACCATCTTGCTACGTAGCACATCTTTCAACGATAGATAGAGTGCCCATTGGAGTTGTTGTTCCCCGATTCACCATGTTGGTCTTGCAATGTTCTTGCCGTTCATCATCTCCGTCCGTATGCTCTGCAGGTCCGAGATTCTGGCAAAAACATGTCCATCGCAGCGCGGTAGATCAAACTTGCTACACGTGCAACTGTCCTCCTTTCCTCTTGCCGCCTTATGGTGATTACACAATAACCTCGCGATCGTGCTATTCTTCCGCCATACTACCTTGATCTTCCTCTTAAGGACCCCTTTGATTTACTGGTGGAGGTCTGTCTTTCCTACTTCCTTCTCAGCTAAAATCCGAACCTCTCTCTTCTTTATTGTATTGTCATATTGCAGCCGGATGAGTATCTTCTTCCGGATGTTGATGCCAACTTTTGCTGACACTACTCTGGCCACCACATCTCTAACCTGCTTCCTGGTAGGCTTAGCATGGAATGCGCCTGCACAGGAGTAGAGATACATGAGCTTGTCCACTTCCTGTTTCCACAACTCTTTCTTCTTCCACGGCAGCTGTAGTAATAGCTTTAAGTAGCCGTAGCTAAAAAGAATGTAGAGCCATATATCCCATCAGAAATGGTAAAAGGAGCTTCAGAATCTACATATTCCATTCCTTGAAATGCAGTAAAAACTAAAGCTAGAAGAATAGTGGCTAATATGCCATACCTTCCTCTAGATAGCTCTTTGCTTGTGCAAGCGCAAGCTTCTTACCACCGATATGAAATGTCGAGGTACCGAATAGTCGTCTCGTCACGGCCCAGTCTTCGCCCCAGATGTCCCCGCCATGGCTGGAAATACTAATTTCCTTCCTTCCTGCTGCTTGTGTGTCTTCTTGTATCTTCCAAAGACTGGTTGTTCTCCCCATGCTTGGCTGGACTGAGAATGTGATCAAACCTTCCTTTCTCTCCGCCTCTATTTTTAGCCGCCCTTCCTTTCTTGCCTCCGCTAACCTCTCTAGCCTACACTTTCTATTACTCTTCCTCTTGGACTGTTTGCCTTTGCAGTTCAGCGCTGGTGAGAAGTGCTTTATCATCTTACTCTCCAACGCCCTGAGGTCCTCCGCTCTCACTGTTGCCATAGGAACAATCACCTACTTGTTCCAGCCAAACCTGCCCATCCACTTATACAGTAATGGAAATCTTCCCTTATCTCCAGCAATAGAACACCGAACATGCTCCCACCATCACTCAGCTGTAGCTACAAGCTATGACTATGTATAACCTGTGTTCCGACCCGACTTGATGGCTGAACAGATGGATTGTGTCGGTTTGGGGTGCGCGCAACCAGCACTGCTATCTGGTCTTTTACCCGAATTAAGAAAAAAAGAAAATCGCGACGTCTTTTTCACTTTTTATTTTGGTGTCTTTTTAGTTTTAGTTGTTATTAGACTAACTTTTTCAGTGATTCATATTTTTGTGATTCCTCCCCCCCCCCCTCCTTCCCCCGGATGGCCCGGATGGCCCGGATGGACCGCGCTACGCTCCGCTGCAGTGCAATACGAAAGGCAACACTCAAGGGTCGGTTCGGGGGTAGGTTTCGATCGGTAGTCCGTACGGTAGCATAGGTTTGGAATTATCGCGCACTCACTGCCACTAAGTGGCATGTGACAATGTATGTCCAAAAATAAAAATAAAAAAATTGTACCTGCATAACTGTCTAATAAATGCATCGTCAAATAAACGAGAAAGAATGGATTCTAGGTGTGAATTGACCTTATTGATTGGCCAAACAGATTTGTCCATAAATATGCCCCTCGTTTGTTGTCCTCTTCTCCCTCTCTGCCTACGGTTTACCGGGCAGTTCTATTTGACGATATATATCATCACATGGATATGAGAGCGCAAAAGCGAAAAGAAAAAAGAAAAAAGAATGAATTCGTTTTTATATATATATTGTCACACTAGAAATCAGAGCGCAAAGGCGGAGAAAGACAAAACAAGAAAAAGAAAAAGAAGTAAGGAAGGAAAGCCCCACCTGTTCGTCACCTCTTACGTACAAGGCCAGCCACGTGGACAGGTTGAGCGCTGGCTGCCCCCATCCCCGTGTGTCATAAAGACCCACTTGCACGCAGCCAAAAGGCAAAGAGGTAAAGAAAAGGCGGAGGAAACCAAACCTCACAGAAGAAGAAAGCCTATTAAACAGACGAAGCAAAAGGCAAAGAGGTAAAGAAAAGGCGGAGGAAACCAAACCTCACAGAAGAAGAAAGCCTATTAAACAGACGAAGCAAGTGACACATCCCACAGATAATCCAATTACCATCCCACAGAACATATTTTCCTTTTTCTTTTTTCTTTTTTCTCAGGTTTCTTTTTTTGTGTTTTTCCTTCCTTGGTTTCTTTTTTTATTTATTTATTTATTATCTTTTTACTCGGTTTCTTTCTTTATCTGTTTCTTCTACACTTCATCTGTCACCCCCTCGGCAGATAGGACAACTACGGTGAGAATGACGGGGATGTTCACAGGGATACCCAAGGAGAGTTGCGTTAGTACAGCATTCAGCCGGACGGCTAGCACGAACCATCCCGTCGAAACAATCCCGACATAGGACATGTTGCCCACATGTCAAGAAAACAGCAGGACGTTCGTCACAGTGCGGCATCATGCAGTTCTGATAGCGTCCTTGGGAACAGAAAGGACAACGTACATCTGGGTGATAGGAATGTGCACAATAAGGAAATGTTAGACACCCTTCCGCACATACGGCGGCAGTCGCAATGGATTGATAATGGTGCTGACACAGATAATGCACTCCACAACCAAGACGCACTCGCAAGAATTCATTTATGTTGACAATAACCTGAATCACCGTCCCTCCATCCCACAGTTCCCACTGGGAAGCTGTACGAAGAAATATGAGGACGGTCAGTCGTCCCATATATATATATTATATATACATATATACAGGGTTACCTGACCGAACGTTCGGGGGCCCCCGGGCTGGCCCCCGAACGTTCGGGCGTTCGGGGTCCCGTTCGGGGGCCGAACACCTCCAGGTTCGGTCCCCGCCAAAAAATATTTCGGGGCCTAAAAATAACTTTTTTTTTCTGAATGTTTTTTTGTGAGTTCTCTGTGATGTAACCTACACGCCTACAAATTTTGAAGCAATTCTGCGAAGCAAAAAAAAACATTAAAAACTGTCAAAGATAGGGGTGTCAAAACGTGCTCGCCCACTCACTATTTTGTTTTTTTTCACTATTAACTTTTTGTTTTCACTTTATTTCGGGGCCTAAAAAAAATTATTATTTTTTGAAAATTTTTTAATGAGTTATTGATTATGTAAACTACATATCTGTAAATTTTCAGGGCATTTGTCAATTCCAAAAAATAATTAAAAATCGGCAAAGATGGCGGTGTCGAAAAGGTGCTGGCACACTCACGCATTCTAATTCTCTTTTTATTTTTTCTTATTTTTATCATAGTGTTTATTTTCTGTATTGGATTTTTAATTCAAATTTGGTAAAGAATTTGGATGTAGTGCCCAAGCAAATGTTGTCTAGTTCATATTTCTCCATAACATAGTTTTTTTGGGGAATATTTTGAAAACGTTTTCTTTTTTTTTTTTTCTTTTTTTGGGTCCGCGTTCGGCCCGAACGGCCGAACGCCTCCCGAAGGGGTCCTGTACGTTCGGGCGTTCGTTCGGCCGGTCCCGAACGCTGGTAACCCTGCATATAGACATGTTGTCACAAGGATACATATTATTGTCACAGCCCCTCGTTTGTTGTCCTCTTCTCCCTCTCTGCCTACGGTTTACCGGGCAGTTCTATTTGACGATATATACAAATAAAACTCCGACGAAACAGTTTGTCACAGCCCCTCATTTGTCTTCCTCTTCTCCCTCTCTGCCTACGGTTTACCGGGCAGCTCTGTTTCACGATATACATATACATACATATATAAAATCGTGATAGAGAACTACCCGATGAACCGTAGGCAGAGAGGGAGAAGAGGACAACAAAGGAGATACATATTGCTCTGTATGTCTACAGAAAAAGCAGATACATACAGACATGACGATATATCTATATATAGATATATCGTCACAAACAGAAATGCCCGGTAAATATATATATATATATAAATACATATATATATTTCTATATGACGCATGAGAGGCAGATGTCACACTCTCCTCTTTGAGATACTTGAGAGGTGTGTTGGGAAGAAGTTTGGGGCAGGAGGGAGGGAGGGAGGGATGGACGGAGGGCGGGAAGGTTTTCATTTGAGAAAGGGGGTGTTGGGAGGGGTCAGGGGTCAGGGGTCAGGGGTGTTGAGTTTCACTTACCGACAAGTCCGAACTTAATTGGGACATCTGGGCCCAGCGGGGGTGGCATGGTGAAACTGTACTCCTTAGTTCCGTTTCCACATTTATAATAATATTTACGATAAGGTTCCAGCGGCTGCTCGACGCCGATGATAACGTAATGAATAGTTTCCGACGAGTAATCCACAAATGTGTATGAATTGTGTGACCCCTCCGCTTGCCACGTGTACAGGCCTGGCTGAGTCCCATAGTAGACGATGGATGGAGCATTCATTCGCCTCGAGGTCACATAAGAAACGCCGGCCCGATTGTGTCCCGCCAAATTCACGTGCACCTGGTTTGCAGTCATTAAATAACAGATTATGAATTACTAAATACGTAAATCGATTCAACAGGTCAAAATTTATATATAGTCACACTGTGAATCGGAGCGCAACGGCGGAAAAAGACAAAACAAAAAAAAAGGGGGAAGAAGGAAGGAAGGAAAGCTCGGCCCATTCATCACCTCTTACGTACAAGGCCGGCCACGTGGATGACAGGTTGAGCGCTGGCTGCTGCCCCCATCCCCGTGTGTCACAAGGACCCACTTGCACACAGCCAAAAGGCACATATATATTGTCACATATATATTGTCATATATATATATTGTCACATATATATGGTCACATATATATCGTCACAAACAGAACTGCCCGGTAAGCCGTAGGCAGAGAGAGAGAAGAGGACAACAAACGAGGGGCTGTGACAAACTGTTTCGTCGGAGTTTCA